CTCTCCCCGATTATACATTATACACATTAAATAACTGACAGTACAACAGTTTTAATAGAAATTGTAAACTCAGACCACAGAAATGGTTCACGTTAAAAATGGCAGCCCTTACCTCCAGGTTTGCTCCTTCAGAAATTCAACCCAGAATAACAGTTAAATAAGTGGTTTATACATCTCCAAGGCTTCCCTCTGCCACATCACACATATGGAGACATCACTTGCTCCAGCCATATCAACATATTATAAAGTATTGTTAGATCAAGGACAACCCGAATGCAAAGTGACAAAGCTCGCTCTTAAGAATAATCCACCCTGTCCCTATGCTCCCATTTCATTTCCAAATCTTGTCTTAATTAGATAAACGGCTCGTGAAAACATTATACTTAACAGGTATGAGGCAGGTATATTCATTTAATTCAATTCAGTTTATTTATATAGCACCAATTCACAACACATGTAATCTAAAGGCACTTTACAGTTCACCAGATCATACAGTCAAATTGATTCAAAGTTTTCTATCTAAGGAAAACCAGTTGATTGCATCGACTAATTGACTCGAACGCAATCCCTCACACTAAGCATGCTTGTAGCGACAGTGGAGAGGAAAAACTCCCTTTTAACAGGAGGAAACCTCCAGCAGAACCAGGCTCGGTGTGAGCGGCCATCTGCTGAGGCTGACTGGGGTTCAAGGAGACAGAAGCAGGGATACAAAAATAAATTTTAAATGGCCGGTCCCTTCCAGGAAACACACAGCCAGGCAGACGAGCTCCCAGTCAATCCCCATGTCAGAAGATGAAGAGAGCACAGCCATCCAGTCACAGTCAGAGAAACAGGACTACACTGGAAAACAGGCCAATCTCCAACATCTATAAACATTAGGGTTTAACAAAGCCATACTCAAATCATAAAAATAACGCTAACAATTAATAACTATTCTTTTTTTCTTAAGAGACTACCAAGGCTTAATCTAGGCCAAAATTAGAGCAGAATAACATTTTGGGCTCTCATTTTTATAGCATCTATTCTGATTTAACATAAGTTGTTTAAAGTTGGTTCGTAAGTCAACAAATCAATTACATTTGAGAACAGAATGAGTTCTATTAACTCATTTCCTATTTTTTTTATTACATTTCTTTTGAAATTAATTTCTATTTTATAAAGGCTTTCCTGAGCATGCATGATAACTCATGAGGAAACGATCAAGTAGGTCTTTCCAGTCTGTTGAACATGATAGCTCCCATAAAAAGATAAGAAAAACAGAACAAGATTTTTCTGTTCTGCAACTTTACGACACATTTTATCCATTTTTATGTTTTGTTTCACAGGGATCTTGATTTATTTGTTGGACAGAGAGAGAGTTAAGGCATGCAGTGGATGGAGGAGGTTGGGATGGAACCAGGATGGTAATGATGAGGTTTATAAGCTTTGTATGTCTGCTAAATCCATAAACATAAACATGTAGTGCTGCTGCTCTACCACTGAGCCCAACCACACCGATACGTTTTCAGAGTCGCACACGATTGGCTCACCACAGTGCCTTTAAAAATCCTCTAGTCTAAATTAGGAAGATCAAATAAATAAAAAGGCATTATATACCTATAAGGGCACAGCAAACCCAAGAGCTGGATTATTAAAATAAAATTTAAAAAAACACAAGAAACTTTTATGTTCATTAGTGCTTTAAAGCTATTAACAGTTAATGAGTTTATTTGGCTTTTTGTGTGCTCATATGTCACTCAAAAAGTTTTAATTTGACAGTTTGTTTTAACATATGTTCATGAGATTCCTATGAGGATAATATCTCTGCTTCCAGGGGGAAAGAAGAAGGTCGTATGCAGCTGCAGAGTTTGTGAATACCTCTGGCTTTCCCTGCCTCGTCATCCACCATGTGACATGTTATATACTAAAGAAATCCCACATACTTCATTGTACAGTGTACTGATTTCCCTGCTGTCAGATCAAAGTGCCAGTTTGGAGTTTTTGTCTCCTTCCTTTTGTGAAAAGCACAGCTGTTAAATCCAGTATAAAAACTCCTATGGCGACAAAGCAAACAGGAGAAAGATCAAGGCTAATTCTAAGATGACTGTGCAAAAATCCACAGAAACTCTTATTCATAAATGCCTCAGTAAGTTTGTCACTGTTATTGAAGTGGGGGGAGAAAAAGCACATGATGAATGAGCAGCCAGCTGGTTTTGTTTGTGTCTCCAACAGGTTGATATATAAAAAAAAGTCTCATCCTTCAATCCAATCCTGCTAAATAAAACCAGTGATTAACAATATTAGGCAAAAAACAAATTTATGATAAATTTAAAAACCAAATAAAACAACATATATCATACACAAATTTATTTCCACCTTCTTGTTTCTGCTCATATGGGCAGATTAAGTGTCTTTTTAAAATTATAAAATTTTTAATAAGACAAACTTGCTCATCATTTAGCAGAAATATGTAGAAGTTAGTTTAAAAACTAACTTGAGAGGACAATAAAGTCCAACCCGACCACAGGCTTTATCGACCTATTTGTTGATTATGACTCCTTTCACATTATTTGTACAAACTGGCCTACATCCTGGCAGTGCCTGCTAGTGTTCAGCTCAGGTCAAACTTTCCGTCCAATCTCCTTCATCCCAGCTGAGCCCAAACAGCCCTACTGTTGTGAAAATAAACTGTAACTGGGAGAAAACAGAACACACTGTGAGAGTGATCATAATTGGGTCTGGCTGATAATCCAAAGACTATTTATTAGTTGTTTAGAGTATTTTTAGTTGCTTATATAGACTGTAAAAATATAGTGGCATGCAGAATTATGCTGTTAACATTAATTAGTTCTTCATTTTATCATATTTTAACAGGATTTCAAGCGCAGAAAGGTCAAATGAAAGTACTGCAAATTACTGAATTATAGGGGGAATTAACATAGTTTTAAAGGGATTTTGTTAAATAAAAATCTAATCAAGTGTGGGTTACCTTCTTATTAGGACACAGAAAATGAAATTTCATTTTGAGATTCACCTCAGATGAGATCTAATCACTTAGAGAGGCTTTTCACCCACGCTTGCAGGAAGGAGAAAATTAATCATAGAAACACATAAGAGAGCCATGGTATGGTAACTCTGGAGAACTTGTTGAGATCTGCAGCTCAGGAAGGAATCTATCAAAATTGCAACTACCTGTCATTTAGCTCATAATTCATTCATAGTATTTTCTTTTTCTCATAAAATTGCAAACAAACAAAAAAAGTCAAAAGTTTGTAACAAGCCACATAGTTGATAAAGCAAAATCGAGAGAGGGTGCTCTGGTCATTTGAGATTAAATATATATATATTTTTTAACCTTAACCACATTAATAGGTGTATTTTTCCACCAGAGACTTGTATTTCTAGTGGGAAAAATACACCTGTGAACAAACTATGTTTTCATAAATTTAAAGCCAGAACAATTAAATGGTCTATTGAATGCATATTCAACTGTTGGAAAGGTGCAATGGAGCTCTTAATAATCCAATCAAGACTGGGTTATGATTTCGGAAAATTTTACATTAAGAGATGCTCTAATTTAAGCCTGACTGAGAGTGGGTTAATTTGTGAAGAAGACTGAGCAAAAAATGGCAGCCCCAATGTGCAAAACTAGTGTAGATGTACTATCATAGAACATGCAGCTCTGGTGTTGTTCCATAAAGTATTGATGTGGGGGAGCTGAATATTATTGTATTAAACAGTGTTCTAATCTTTTAAGTATATTGTATTTATATCAATAAACTGTGTTGGTCCAGCATAAGAATATGAAATGACAGAATATAAATGCCCCTGCAAGGCACTACATAATTTAATTTAAATTCAATATCATGACCTTTAAGTTGCCATTTGTTAAACTTTGATAGATGAACAATATTGTAATCTCTGTCTACATATATTTATATACAAACAAGCAGTTTCCTGGTGTAGTAATACAATCCCTGGGAAGCAACAGAAAATTTACAGTTTAACCAACAGGACTGATAAAAATCCTTTTAAGATCCTCATATAATGCATGGACGGAACGCCAAGTGTCGGCAAAACAGTTATTAAACCTGCTCTGGTGGCTACTTTGAAGAATCTAAAACATAAAAGATGTATTAAGGTATTTTAAAATTATTTCTTTGATACTTTATTCTACATTCTTTTCTTTACATTCTTATCTTTAATGTATATACAATGTAAAAAGTAATTAAAAAAAAGAAACATAAATGACAAGGTTAAGCTGAACCAGGTGTTTGTCCACAACGGTAAAAAATGTAATTTATTGATGCGAGTTCTGATAACAAACTTACATCTTCCTAAAAAGAAATGTGAGGTATAGCAGAAACATCTGGTTTTTATGAATCATATTTTCTTGCTGTCATTTTGGTATCACTGTACGTATAAAAACATCTATTGACTTTTTACATAAGAAAAAACTCAGGAAGACCCATCCATCGATTTAGGTTCAATAAAGACAAGAGTTTTCACAAAAACTTCTTGTTTTTGTTGCTGGGAAGAGACTTTAACATATTTATTACAAAATCTATCTAATTAAGGCAAACCTCTAAAACCTTTTTTTTTCCAAAATGTTAATTTTAACTTTGTTTCCTTAAATATAAAATATACAATTATTTACTGAGGACAAAATAAAGTATCCATTTTTACTGATAATTATACACACTTTTTTCAAGAAAAACAAAAATACTCTTAAGTTTTATTAAACACTTCGTACATACACACCATAACATTTGTGTTTAAACCTATGAACACTACTACAAGGAGCCCAGATGAAGGTAGAAGTAAACTTAAGACATTTGTTGGAGCTACAGAGCCTCTATTTACATCATAAATACATCACATTATAGCATTCTTTTCAAAAATGGCAACATTTGCCGCACAAAATAAAGATTTAGACGGCATCTTTATGTACACACAAGATAAAATATGGTTAATATATGATCATATACAAGTATACAGTAAACTGAATTGTATACAGGTTTCAGAGGTGCAGGATAAAAGTAAACTCTATTTGCACAGACAGGGCTGTGTGTGAAGCAAGAAACATGTAAACATTTGGTTACAGAGATCAGTTACTGATTTTTCATCCTCTGTGGGCTAAAACGTTTTATTTAAGCCTCAATACTTTGGACAGAAAAGCCCACATGTAGCCAGTGATAGAAAAAAAAAAAAACACTAAAAAAACCAAATGGTGACTATCAACAGATGACAGCTGAAGCACTTGTAAGGCTGCAGTCATGAGAGGAAGCCGTCTGCGTTCTTGTGCAAGTGTGAATATCCACAAACAGTTCCTGTCAACAGTATAGCTGCTGTACATATTCTTCTGCCAGAAAGCAGCTTCACTTTAAAAGTGGCACTTCTCCATTTAACACGCAGAGGGATATGTGCTCACTTTATCAAATAATAAAAAACTAGGCCTGACGTCGCTTTAAACAGTTGTAACTCAAACACGCGGTTGCAGACTGTGCCTTGGAGAAAGTGCAGAGTCACTGTTTTATCCTCTATATAGGTCAAGGCTTCAGGAAGTGCTGCTTCTCTTTCGGGTCCTGGGCCTCCTCTTCAGAATTTCCTCCTCTTGGTCACTTTCACAATCCCGCTAAAAGAGCACAACAGGGTAAAAAAAAAAAAAGATAACATCATTTATATTGGGAGAACAGTAGAATCTGATGCTGTCATCAGCGTAATATCCTGAATTTTATCCTGAACTTGAGTATTCTGGTCCAACAAACATAATGCTTCTGTGTGATTGCTGCATATATATTTAATTCTTCAATATTTCTTTATTCTTTTTTTAACATCTTTACTAGAGGAGCATGAAATATGTCCCCGCCTGTGTACAGCATTAAAATGACTGGAGGTAAGATTGTTGATTTAGCCTTAATCAGGTAAGCCATGCCACTTTGCTCCCAGTTTTTCTAAGTAGCAAAGCTCTTCAGGGACTGGCTGTGTAAGAATAACACAGACATGAGAGCAGCAGCAGTCTTAATCTCCATCAGCAAAATGTGGCGGCAACTTTTCTATATGGAACTGCTACCATTGCTGAAGCCTGGATTCCTCACCTTATCCTCTTCAGGCAGCTTCTGACCCTTCTTCATAATCCTCGTTAAGTGATTGCACAAGGCTACGATTCGAAAGGACAGCTGAAAACATTCAGAAACAGAAAGAAAAGCAGTTACCAAAGCCACATTTTCTAGAGATAATTTAAGGATTTAAAGCTGAGTTGGATGCTTATCCTGTATTTTACCTTCCAGCGGCGTCTGGCATACTGCCTCTTAAAGTTCTCCAAGTTAACCACTGAAAGCCTCTTCTCCATGGCCTGCCTGGGATTAAGAGGCTACAGACACATAGCAAAGAAAATCTGTGAATTTTTTACATTTTTACTGCCTTAGCATCATGCTGGTAGAACTCAGCATGCGTCAGATAGTTCAGGTATTATACAAAAAGTACAGTTTAGGAAATAAGTTTACAATAAAGAGGCAATTTTCATTTTAGGGATAAAGAAAGACAAAGACACAAAAAATGAAACAAAGAAAAAAGTTTATTTTAAAAAGTCAAGAAAGAAAGAAAATAAATGTACCTTTAGAGTTGTAAACCACCAGGTTAATCACAATAAGCTGTTATACATTGATTTCTTTAGATATTTGCTGATATCATAAAGTATGTTACAATATCGTCTTACAGGAAAAAAATGGAATTGAGCCTTTTAATGTTCTTACAGGCATTTATTTCAAAATCAGCATTTATCTAAATATAAAAATGCTCTTGATGATGATAGATGGCCTGTTCACTCTAGTCCTTCAAAATAAAGGTGTATCTTAAAAAAGACCAGATGGATAATTAATTAATTCATTAATGATTGATGTATTGTTACATTTCTGGTATTTATACATAAAGAGACCTCACCACAGGTGATGGATTTTCAGGAAATAAAAAAAAGCATCAAGTTTTGACATTGCATTAAATTTTCATCAATTAATAAATAAAAGAAATACATTTAAGAAAATAATTCATATTATACAGCAAATAATAAATAAATTTTAATATGACATAATACCTATCACAATAAAATAAAATAAAATGTATATTTATATAAAAAAACTTTCTGACAGCAATCAATCATTTAAAGTACTTGATTTTGTGCCCAAGGGGAAAAAAAATACAAAAAACCAAATTTTTAAAAACAGTAACAAAGTGAAGACAGTTACATAATGCAAAAAATTTACTTTCAAAATAAAATGAAATGTTAATATAGTCAATATTTCTATTAGTATAATTTATTTTCATGGTTCTGAGATTGGAGCTGGAGCCATTATGAAATTAGATCACCTTATTTTCGGACAGTTAGCTGATTCTGTTGTTACCTGGGCAGGAGTTACTGCCTAACTTTAAACAGATAACATTAGACAAGGAACAGAGGAAGAACTGAACCCACTTCTAACTATTAACAGAGAACAGTAAGCTCCTTCTTCAGGGAATTAATCAATCAGGTCTCTCAAGCATAGTCTTACTTTCAGAAAATCTGTTCTTATTATTTACCTTTTACCACAAACATGAACTTAAATGCACCAGAATCATTGAAACACATGCTTAAACTGGGTGGATCCAGCCAAATATGCAAACCTCTATACCTGCAAATGATAAACTGATTTATGCTCTGGTAAAAATAATAAAATAAATAGAAGGAACAGTGAGTGACATTTCATGGTCCCACATTTGAAGAATTATATTCAATATATCCAAAGTGTGGCTGTAAACAGTATTAGAACAAAGAAAGTAAGACAAAATAAAACAAATAAGAAAATATATCCACTTTTTAGAACCCATTTTGCCGCCATAGGGTTAACAGCTGCATGCTTGGGGCTTCACATCCTTTTGTGACAGATGCAACAACCTCCTACCAATTTCTGGTGAAGTTATTTTGATAGGACTTAATAAAATATGAATATTTAGATATATAAAATGCGATAGTAGGAGACAGGCAGTCTCTGTGCCGTGTTAACTGCCTCTATTATGTACGTTTTCACTCAAATAAACTAAATAAATAATCATCTTTTTACATAGGTTACCAGGAAAGAAAATAAAGGATTAACTTTTATATAAAATTCTTCTTTGTGGTCCTTATTTTGTTGTACAACACAGTTTTAGGAACGTAGTAACTATGTTATTTTGTCAAACTGCAACACAGCTTCCGCCAGCAGCATTATTGTCCATTAGTTGTACTCAAAGCACAGTTTGATATTCCTTATGTACAAATGAAAGGAAACGGGTTCCTCTAACACCATGAGTTAAGAATTGGAAGAACTCAAAATTGTCATAAACATAAACAATCTTGTGAGCTGATTTTTTTCAATTTACACCAAACCCAATTTAACCTTGTTTTAATTGAGGACTAAGAAGAATCTTTCAAACGCTACAAGAACAGGTAAGAACTACAGTAAGAGGTTCACTACATGAGATTGTTACAAAGATTTCATGGAAATGTCTGAAAACTAGAGGTTTTGATTTCACTTCTATAGCTCAGACTGAGAAGATGTTTGGATTGATAGATGTCTATTCATAAATTAATACACCTGCTGTAAACATTTAGTGTGTTAAGTCGTTGTTTGCTGCCATAAACATGCTTCACGGCTTGAAGCTAAATTTGAAAAAGAAATAGATGACTTTTGTCATTTTATTGTAAAACTTAGGTGAGAAAAAAATTTAAATTGAGATTAGATTATAGCCCATCCCTAAACAAAGATGATGTACACAGGGTCTGACCATGATGTGTGGAATGGGCTACAAAAACATATAAATCTCAGCTTAATTCACTTTATTTAACTTTTGTTTATATATTTATTGACCTTCAGTGTTTTACGATGTGAAAATATTTAATATTTAAAGCGATCTGAAATGCCGTCATCTTGGCCAGGTCAAAAGAAATAAATAAAAAACTAAGATGGAACCAAATAAAATGATCAATATCTCACATTCACAGAATAACAAAATGCTCCAAAATTTAAATCACATTAAGATTTATAAGGAAAGGTTGGGATTTCCCGTTAACTGCTTCAAGATGCAGACAGCTCATTGGTTTCTCAAGCTGTTTTGTCCAGATGACTTGCCTAAGGTCACAACTCCAAACTTGCATCCATCACCTTCACATCTTTTAGTAACTGCCATCCCCTGGTGCCATCCATTTTCATAAATGCAAAGTAGGTGTTTCCTCATAGTTTCCCTTTTGTACCAAGCCTCCTTGTCGCTGTAGATGGAGAACAGTGCTTCTACGTCACTTTGCACGGTGGGTGAGCACCTTCCTCCTCTGACAGCCCCGTCTTCATGAAGCCGATGTGCTTCACAGAATAAGCAAAGTGCTCAAAGTTCACGTATGTGTTGCTTTGTGGCAAGCTGCTGCGAGATTGGACGTTGTGCTCGTTTAGATGTTTCATTATGAACTTTTCAGTTCTCTTCGCAGCTCCAGATACATCAGCATCTTCTTCAGTTTGGTTGCAGGACTTAAGAAGGATTGCAGGAAGGAGGAAGGGGGAGGGGAGGGGAAACTGAGTGAGAGGCCATCACATAGTTGCATCTTGAAAACAAACTGTGGTGAAAACCCCAGTAGATGATTAATGCGTGAAGATGGCAAAAACACAGCAAACATTCTTGATGAGTGTGTTATGTTTCCTGGCTTAATGCTCTGATCCAAACAGGATGGAAGGACATCACAGTGAAAAAGAAAAAAAACTTCTACTTGTATTATGGTCACTATTGTGACTGGACTTCCTCAGCGGCTCAGGCTGTAGCATTTCCACACCGTTAGAAACACAATTGGTGAGATTTGGTTTCACTTCAGTCACGTTGAGACAAAGAGACTTTTCACACTAGTGTCAGGGTTTATATGATGAAGTGGGTGGAAGTTGTGAAGGTTGAAATAAATATCCCCACATGAGGCGTAGTCCAGAAACATATACACACCAGTGGGTGTGAACTCCGGGACTTTGAGACCACAGTCAAACATCTTTGAACTTTTAACGATTAATTCTGTAAGAAGCAATTCTACTACCCTGCCATAACCTTTGACCTCAGAGGCCGACTTCTTTTACATTTTCAATAAGACGTGACGAGAACAACACAAAACATGCCACAGAGCAGCACATACCTTAATCCACGGGTGATTCAAGGCATCTTGGATAGTCATCCTTTTTCTGAAAAATGGTAGAAAAAAGCCAGCTGAGTAAACACACCCAAACAAGTCTGTCACACACAGCGCAGGCTGACCTGTCATGCATTACAATTAAGATCTCTGAGGAATTCAGTGAGAAGTAACACTCACAGGAATATCATGTTTCTTAAAGGTTGATTTAAATGGAAACAGATGTAAGGAACCAGAAGTCACATGGTGCAAATAAAGACAAGTAATGCTTTGTCTGAAGTAATTAGCTAATGGTTTGTCCATGGCTTGTTTAACTGATTTTACACCTAATATCATGCTGGTGACTAAAAACAAAGTACCAATAGTGTCTTGCAAAAATATGCATAGTATTTGAGCTTGTTTACGTTGTATTGACATTTTCAGCTTTTACAGTGTTTCATTATGATTTGATGCGAACATCATAAGGTCATGCATAATTGTGAAGCTGAATCAAAAATAATACGGTAAATTATTTCCAACTTCATTTACAAATGAAAGTATAGAAATTGTGGTATGAAATCTGAATCTATTAGGCCAAAATAAAAACCACTTCAAAATTTATCTAATAAGTAAGTAGCCAACCCGTTTGACATTTAACCTCAGCATGAATTTATGGTTTAATGTAAAACTAAAGCGCATTCCCCCAGCATGATGCTGCCACCATCAGATCTCTGTGTTCAGGATAATTCACAGCTTTTGTCTGGCAAATAGCTTTGCAATAGACACAGGTAGACTGTGCTCATTATAATGGACTACTGAATGGTATTAGTTGCCGTAAATTTTATTCAAAGGCATCCGAATAATAGGGACCAAATAAAACTGCTTTTCAGATTTGAGAAGCATTTTAAACCATGAGTATAATTTGTTTTATTTCCAATACAAAACAGAAGGCAATATAAAATGCGTTGGGTTTTTTCAGCCCTATTTTGGCTGATATCCTCCAAAAAACAAATAAATAAAATGTAATAAATCCCTTTCATGCACTTTCCTTAAAAATCACACGAGTAACTCTGGTGAGTAGTGATCACCAGTCTTGTTTAATCTCTGTTCCAGTCCAGCTGTTCTGTTAACATCCTACAGGTTTGTTGGAGACATTAGTTAATGAATAGATTTAATTTTAAGGAACACGTCAGTTATGAAGTTTGTAATTTAAACTTAAACTGTACTTTAAACAATATCTAAAGCTTTAAGGATTTCACATAGAACAGTTCAATCCATTATCTGGAAACAGAAGGCAAGTTAGTCACAAACTCCAAAATCACTGAAAGGGACAGAAAAAAGTAATAGAGAGAAGCTGACGTGGTCCATAGGAACTCTGGAGGAGCTCTAGAGATCACTGCCTGAAGTAGGAGAATTTATAGACATGGAAACTATCTTATTATTATAAAATGTAGGGTCATTTAGGTGACAGGACAGAATAAAATTATTTAAAAAAAAACAAAATTTTGCCAACACATTCACACCATCTCTAGGGTGGAGGATGATTATGGCGGATTCATATTTTGGGGATCGATTTCTTCTGCAAGATCAGCAAAATGGGTCAAAGTTTTATGGAGGATGAATGGAGACGAATGCGGGAACCTCAGATTACAAACCTGCTGAAACTTTAAACAAAACAGTCTGCACTAGAAAAATCTAAATCTAGAAAATTCATTTTTTCTTAAAATAAGTGTATTTGTTCTTGGATTGAAGAGGTAAAAGAGACATTTTGCCAATGGATCAAGATGATTTACACTTAAAATAAGAAAACACATTACATTGTCTTTTTTTAAGTGCATATTATCTAATTATCTTATTTTAAGAGTAAAAATACTAATTACCATTGGCAAATTATCTAATTTAACTACTAAAATTAAGGGTAAATACACTTAATTCAAGAAATTTTTACTTATTTCTAGATTGATTTTCCAGTGTGGGTCTCTAATCAGCTATTAGTCTGTGGCAGGGCTAGAAAATGTGTCTTAGAATGCACATCTTCATCTAGCCTGATTTATTTTAAATTATTAAAAAAAAGAGGTGAACAATTTAAGAATGTAGATGTACAACAAAGGTACAGACAAACTCTGGAAAAGCTCTAACAACAGGGATTGATTTTATGAGGTACTAATTATTAGAGGCTGAATAAAAATGTAGTTCGTAGTTTTCAGATTTCTTAATATTGCATTTAAGATTTTGGCTGTAGTACAGTAAATAGTGAAATGGTTTTAGTGGTATTAATACTTCAGGAAAGAACTGTATGTCACTAATCCAGGCTGACTGATGTTTAACAGTAGATCCCCAGTTCCTGGCTGTACATTACATCGCCCGGCTTGACCTCTGTCCCTCAGCTGTTTGCCATTCTTTTACCTCGTGTCCTTTTCCAGTAGCTGCCTAATGAAGCTCTTGGCCAGCTCGCTGGTGTTACTGAAAAACTCTTCATCAAAGTCGTAATCCACCGCTGAGATGTTTCCTAGTGTTTCCTGCTTTGTTTCACCAAGGAATGGCGAGATGCCGCTCAAACTAAAAAAAGCACAAATATATTAACACAACGATCAAGACCCCAAAATCTCCACCAGTGCCATTAAAAATGAACTCACAGTATATAGGTGATGACTCCAATGCTCCTGTGCAAACAGAACAAGATTAATTCACAGCTATGCATGGCAGCTTGTTGTGTGGAAACCAGCAGGGTCGGGCATAATTAGAGGATCTTACCACATGTCTGCTTCCAGTCCTAGCTGCTCATAGTTGACTATCTCTGGGGCTGAAAATAGAAAAAGCAAACTTGCAGACGGAGTAAACCCAAAAGATGAGGACTTTGAGTGGAAGAAACATTTGAAAAGTCTTACCCACAAATTCAGGCGTGCCAAAAATGTTTTTGAAATCGGCCCCAGGTTTGATTTTGTGTGCCAGTCCAAAGTCTATGAGTTTAATGCGCGGTAGAGGAACGCTCCTGTCCAGCAGCATGATGTTTTCAGGCTGCAACAAAAAACAAACAAAAAAAACAAAGCAAAATGTTTTCAGTTGACTTTTTTTCTGCTGTCGTAGTTGGATAATGAGTGAACATGCATTCAACCTGAGTTACCTTGATAAAACCGCCTTTTTATGTATGCATTAAAGAAAAACAGGGATCTCTGTTAGTGCAACAGATATAAAAAGCTGTTTAAATGTTTTTCTGTCTCATAGTTCACCTCAGCTTTGCACTTAGGCTAGAGGAAAAAGTGAGATCAGAGTGCTAAAGAGCTACATTTTATGTTAATCATCAGAGGGACATTTTTGAGATTCATTTGTTCAGTGCATGAGCTAAGGAAAGGAAGGGCCATGTGGGCCTCTCGGTTCGCTGCTTTTCCACAAAGGATGCCAGTAAAGGTTGGTTGGGTAATTTGATACAATTTTGGTCCGATTCTGCAGATAATTCTTGATCTAAAGGCAGTTTATTCTTTGCGGCCTGTGTAAAATATGCCAGAGTTTGTAGCTCTGACTCATAGGGGAGAAAAGTGGCTCAGATCTGCAGTATTTCAGCAAACCCATATAATAAAAAAAGACAGCTCTCTAAATTTCTTCAGACATTGGTATTATACTCTAAATTTTTAAAAGACGTTTTGTTTAATATTAATAAGAAAGATACATCAAAGAAAACAAGAAAAAAGCAAAACATAGCTACAAGTAAGTCTTTTGTTGGAATACATAGTTCATAGTTATGCTGACACAGTTCATCCAGTTGTTAGAGGAATAGAGAAAAATGTGGAAGCTGGGGTTGAAACGCCTTTTCCTGAGTTCTAGGGCAGTGTCTGCTTGCAGCTCTTCATGAAACTCCCCAGTAGAAACTAATCATACTGGCTGATAGCATCTATTAACTAAGATTGCTGAGTAAATCTCTGAGCTACAAACTGAAGCCCCTCTGAATGCTGCAGGGCTTTGTCATATGGCTTCGTACCCAGGGCAGTAAAGACAACAGGGGGGCCAAAGCTCTAGAAAATTTCTTCAAAAAAAGAAAGAAAAGCAAAATACTTTCAGCTTCTCCCAATTTTTTTTTTACTATTTACTGTTTGCATTCTCTTAGACTATGCACTAAGCTCTGTAATGAAAAGTGAGAAATATTGGTTTCAGATTTCTAGCTTCCAATTCCTTGCTCATTAAATGGCCCATCTCATTTTTTAAAAACTAGTTGATGATCTCAATGCTTAGATTCTTCAACTATGGCAGCCTTTTAAATCTTAGATTCTTTAAAATATAGATTAAAATGCATGAAAACTTTTTTCTTCTTTTTTTAAAACACACAAAAAACTATTCTTTTTTTTATATACTATGACCACATCTCAGATGTTTGCTGGGGTGGAAGAATCACCATTCAAGCAGGAATCACCACTGACTGTATGCTTCAAATTTCAAAGATGGTGTGGTTTCTCTGGTACGATTACATGTTTCTGATTGGTTAAGTACCTCCATCTTATAACTTTCCCATATTTATGTCAAAGATTGCTAAAAGGTTCGTGCAAATCTTTAAACTACCCTAAGTTTTCTTTTTCTTCATCCAGCACCGGGTCCCAGCTATTCCAAGCTGCATCTCTGCCAGTTTGTAGGAACACAAACGAAAGGTCTTGTTGTTTCTTTACTGCTGCTTCTCTGTCCTGCGTTTTGCATCTTGTCGACAGATTCAGGAAGACAGAGAAGTAGCGTCTAATTTGACTAAGACAAATAGTGCACGGTAGGGAAAATGCAGGAGGCTCTCTTAGTCCCTCAAGAAATAATTCCTCTAAGATTAAAAAAAGCAGTGGAGTTTTTGTCCTGTTTCATGCATGTTCTAAGATTTAATCTGCAAAAAAAAGCAAAAATAAAACAAAAAAGCTGACATTTTATGTGCTTGGACTGTCTTGGAAAATAACCTGAAAGCACAAACTAGGCAAGTACTTTATACTAGCTATAACTAGTAACGCACAGAGATTAACCAGATTGTTATAGATAATATTGTGCCTAATCAGATCTGACCAGGAAGTGGGAAGTCATATGCTACAAAGCCTATTCTACATGTGAGCAGGAAATACACCATAACTGCCATCACTTTTAAATGACAGTGATAGTCGTCTTAATGGATGCTACCATACTGAGAAGAAGACTCCACTTGATCAGGGTGGTTAGTTTAAAAATGTTAATCTATGCACATAAACACATTTGAGATTAATTAAGATAAGGAGAGAGCGCAGATAACAGGGTGGCTAAAAATAATACAATGCATCACAATATTCTACTCCATTTAAAGCATTAAGATAACCCAGGAAGAACGAAGATGGTTCCTTTAAAAACAGCATAGACACTAAGATAGCTAAGTTCTATTACAGAAACATATAGTTAGAGATACGATCCAATACCTGGATCAATATCGGCTCCAATATTGACTAATTAGCTATATATTGGAGATCCAATACAGTGAACTTTATGTAGAACTGTTATATTTCTTTTTGCTGCTTATTTCTTAATAATTGACATTAATTATATTTGTGTTAATTTGTTACTTTTTAACAATCTTTATGTCAAGTCCAAAGCCTTCACACACACTGCAAGAAATATAGTTCATTCAGTAAAAAATTTAATAGGGTTGATATCGGATATCAGCAGATAGCCCAGGTATCGGTATCGGATTGGATCACATAAAACTGGATCTGTGCATTTCCACTTCAATTCAACCCATAGAGACTGCATTAATTACAGTAGAGGATCTATAAGACATCAAAATATGTTTTTGTCTGTACTTTGTGATCAGAGTGGTAATGCAGGCAAATTATAGCCACCTGAACCTTCTTCAGTGTCCCTCATTTTAAAAAGTGCAGCTGGTCCTTTTAAATCAGGTCTTTTACAGTTAAGAAGATTCAATATCCTCTTTCTTACATCATATTAGATGAGCAATGTTTTTAAAATGACTATGAATGAAAGGTTTTAAGTTTTTCCAACTGTAGTAGAAAGAAGGAGTATCAAATAAAATAGCAACCCCTCTCATTCCAAGGCCATTTATCATAACTTGGCAGCAAATGTTTCTCTTTAGCATTGTGTGCCAGTCCAAAGTCCTTTTGGACACAAATAGACTCTATTTGGCACAACTTATTGAATGTGCTTTAAAAAACGAAAACGGCTGAATTTGTCATAAGGGAAGGGTTCATGTCTAAAGTCAGGTCTAAACTGGTGTTCTCTTGTAGGCAGCGCCCTGATACAGCTCTCGACAATTCCACAAAATATGCAGCATTTGCTGCACTTCATGGAATGGAACTGTCCTGAAAGCTGTTCAAAATGAATAAGACAATAAAAGTTGTGTAAGTCTAAGGCTATTAGAGAAATGCAAAACAGCAACTGCTTACGGACCTGTGTGAGCCACCCAGCTTTCTGACAGAGAAGAGAAAACCATGTGATGTTACTATCTGATGTTCTAAATGCTTAACTCACCAAAAACAGGAAGGAAATGTAAAACAGATGAGTGTGATACTACCTCAGAAACATGCAAACCCTGCTGTGAAAATTTTCAGCAAAGCCTTTTGTGGCCTTACATGGACCCAACTAATGTTGCTAAATGAAAATATTGAATCTCAGTTAAATGTAATGGTGATGGAACATACAGTACCTTCAAATCAAAATGTGCAATCCCCTTGGAGTGGAGGTACTGGACCCCATCTAGTATCTGTTTAATAAACTGAGTGGCCTCCTCTTCACTGAGGGACTCTTTCTGAGCCAGGAAATCAAAGAGCTCTCCTCCGGAGACCCTGCAACACACACACACACAGAGATATGTACACACCTGTTTATTGTGGGCTTAGATAACTGGGAGCAAGGGCCTCTCCATGGCTTTATCTAAAGTGTGCTCTCTGGAGCTGGACGCAGAACTCCTGGATGCCATAGATACAGGATGTTTGTTTGTTGTATCAACTCTGGCTTGTTTGGAGACATTCGCCCTACATATGAACCACTGTTTTCCCTCCATAAACCTAATGAAAAGGCTTATAGAAGTTTATGCATAAACAGAGGTCCATCTAGCAGCTAACAACCAGTTCAGTCTGTCAGTCACTTCACAATAATTGGACTGGGTTTTTTTTTTTCTCTGGTCCTAATTAGGCCCTACATTTTCCCAGGCCCTCACTGGACAAAAATGGGGCCTACTGGGGCACAAGCATTATTTTCTTTGTCAAACCATTTGGTTCTATCTGATACTCATGATCCCTTCCAAGGCAAAGGGTTTGAACAAACAAAAGCTTTAGCAAACAGTTCATGTGAACAGAAACAAACTAAAGGCAGGAACATGAGCGTCAAGGTTCAAGGTTGCTGAGTGTGACGGGTCATTCGGATCAAGAATGAATTTTTTAACAGAATGCTCTGCCACTGATCAACCTTTGAACCCTATAACATTCTGACATATTACAACATTACATGATCAATACACCATGATTATTGGTGACAGACCAACACAACATGGTAGATAATTCTGAAGTGTTGTGTAGCCTATTCCATACTTTTTTTAACACTTCTACAAATAAGATTTTGAAGTGGGGCATGCATTTTTATTGAGCACCAATTTACTATAATATCCTTTTATTAAAAACAAGTGCTGCAGTAATAATCTGATTGGAAATGATACTTTCAATGTTTTTTTTTGTTTTTTTTCATCTCACTTAAACAAACCTCAGTGACAATCTAGTTGGTGAACAAAAAGTATCATGAAGATCAAGGATCACAGCAAAATACTAATGGATAAACTACTGGAGATGTTCAAAGCAGGGTTTGGTTATAAGAGCATATCCTTAGTGTTGAACACAAAGAGATCTATTCCATCCATCATTTTAACAATGGAAAGGCAAATCTCTTGGTAAGACAATCAGGTCACAGTAAATCAGTAGGAACTGGAGGGATACATAACTCAGGTGTGAGAATCTGTCCACAGAAAAACACATATGTATTTAGCTATTTATAGAATGGCCTTTTTAGAAAAAGAAAAGTTTCCGAAAAAAGAAAAAAAGCAGATTGTTGATAAACGGGCATCTGAAGTTTTGCAACAAAACTTAAACCTTTGGAATAAGTAACTGGTCAAATGAGAATGATAGTCATCTGGCCTGTATGTAACATTCTACTGTTTTTAAGGCATTAAAAGAACACCCTAACCACACCACACAATGAACAGACATGGTGGTGGCAGCATCATGCTGTGGGAATCTATTTCAACAGGTAAAGGTTAGTTTGTTCAAAGACTATAGGAAGATAGACTAGGTTAAAAGCAAGACAGTTGTTTAGGAAAACATGCTAAAGGCTGCAAATGGTTGAGATCCTGGTGGAGGTTCAATTTCAAACGGGACAAAAGTCCCATAAAAAACATCCAGGATTAGATTAAATATAAGCAGTGTTAGAATGGTCCAATTTAACTCCACGCCTACATCTGGGGTAGGAATTAGACTTTAAAACAGAGTTGGGCAGATGATCTGCTTCCAAACATACCGGGCTTGCCGCGTTTTGCACGCCTTTATTTGCAAAGGTCTCTATTACAATATAACCATGCATGCCTCATTTTCATATTCCAAGTATGCACTGTTAATTTTTTTTTTTCTTTTTTTATCTGTACTAAAATAACTGAAGTTTCTGATAGTGATGAGACAAGATGGGGAAACAGTTCCCTTTTCTAAGCACTTTGGCTACTTAAGCCTTTTTTATTTTTACCCTGATATACATAAGCTGCAGAAACCGAATGGATAATGAGATGACTCACAGTTCAAGGATGAGCACCACATCTGTGCGGTTCTCATAGACGTCATGCAGCTCCACAATGTTTGGGTGCTGGATCTGCTGCAGGATGTCCACCTCTCGTTCTATTTCCTCTCTTTTCACACCCCGTCTGCTGACCCGACTCTGCCGCTTCTTGATGAACTTGGCAGCATAAGCATTTCCCGTGCTCTTCTCTTTACAACGCTTCACCACAGCAAACTGCCCACTGTGGAAATACAATAGAAAGGACAATTAGTCATCATAAATTTGATAAACACTCAGTCTTTCCCAGTTTGGTGTTTAAAATTGAACGAGGTGCCATTTTGTGACAACAGGATGTAACTAAACAGACACCGAGCAGGAAGTTGCATGTCAAAAATGTCTGAAATATTTCGGTATAGTCCATTACTTCCTGTTTCCTGACGAGACAGAGAACAATCACCCAGGCTGATAGTTGGACAGAGCCTCTGGACTCCCACATCATCCGACTTCCTGCCAAAGCTCTTCTTTTTTCCCCATTATTTAGTCTACTGAAAGAATCCCAAAAACTCTGAATATTTCACAACAGAGGTGCAGCTTTCAGAGAATCCACAACAGCATCATTGTTGTTGACTTTTGCTACAGCCACAGGATAATTGCTTATGACCCTAAACGGATGAGCTTACTCCTCATTTTGATTCAGCTGAATATATTCCCTTTGTTGTGCCTCACAGACAAAGTGAATTACACATATGAAAACATCTGGAAACACTACACCACATCAACAATGCAGAGGAAGTCTCTGACATTGTTTCCAGAGGTAAGCTGCCACCACTCCTGCTGCTGCTGGCTGATCAAGTGAGTCTTTAGATCCAGACCGGGAGAACAAGCCTCTGCACTGCAAAAAATATAAATCTCAATAAGTTATTTTTTCTTAAAATAAGTGTGTTTTTCCTTGATTTGAGGAGATAAGTAAGACACTTTGCCAATGGAACAAGACAATTTCCTTTTAAAATAAGAAAAAACTATTTTATCGTCTTATTTCAAGTAAATATTATCTAACTATCTTATTTTAAGAGTGAAAATACTCATTCCATTGGCAAATCATCTTATTTACCTGCTCAAATTAAGGCTAAATATACTTAATTTAAGCCATTTTTTACTTATTTCTGGATTGTTTTTGCAGTGTGGGTTTGTCCGCCATTATTATACGTGCAAACAAAATATTAGTGGAGTAAATGGGACATGTTGCTTAATAAAATATTCATGCCACATTGAAAAGCTATTCACATATAAGATAATTATTTGTTTCCGATAGGTCAGACTTTATTTACACACCTTTTCTTTTATTATCTGTGAAGATGGAGTATCATAAACAGGCAGCAGATACAAACCATCGGTGACAACAGTTAACACATTTTTAATCATTTTATTTCACACTCAGAAGTCTGGATAAAATTTCCACTGCATCAACTATTTTAGCTCATTGATCCTCTGTTAATGCCAAATAACCCCACCTTATAAAACAGTCCCTACCATGCTTGACATAAGAGGAGTTTTTTTTTTTTTTTTTTCCTGGGCTTCCTCCATGATTCAGAGTGACATGATTCATACCTAACCAGACCAGGGGTACAGCTACCTTTGCTCTAGAAGACATTTTACAGCTTAACGTCTCATTTGTCACAGCTACTCCCATGCCTACTATTTGGTATGATTCCCATATCCATGCAGAAACTCTTATCTAACCAGGGTTATCTCTGTGTGCGGCATGTGTTCTACTGGAAAATGAAATGAAGTAAGGTTGCTAGTGGCTCCAGACTATCTCTAGAGTAATGAAAGCTGTTATTTTTAGAGGTAAATTCATGTGTTAAAAAACTAATGAGACCTTAAACAGACATCTTTATATATTGGCACCAATGTTAAAGCTGTAAACAAAATAGCACGAGGTGAAAGGTGGCGCTAGAATGAGGAGTCAGAACTCGCAATGGGTGATTTGTTTTGATTATCATTACACTGTCACAAGTACAGAGCAACGGAATTATCTCTCTGGGTTTAACCCATCTGCTTTGGGAGCAATGGGCTGCCATTGTGTGGCGCCTGGGGAGCAGTGTGGGGTTAAGGGTCTTGCTCAGGGACCCAGAGTGCAGGCTGTGGGGACCCAACCAGGTACTTGCAACCTTCTCAAGGCACAAGCAAACTGCTCTAACCACTAGGCCAACACTCCCCTAGTTTTACATAAGTTTGGCTCAGTGTTTTTTGCCACATCTTCTTAAATAGATGCAAATGAAGACTTTTAATCACAAACGCGAACCTACAATCAAACTGACCAACAGCCCGTTTCATGGACTAAACAGGCAGAAGCTGCTATTTAAGAACATTCTGCAGCTACATTCCTTTTTTTCTTCTGAGGATGTTTCAAACCTTCTGCGTCTTTGTTTTTTCTTCTTGATGTCTTCTTGATGTTTTCTCTAAAGCTGTTTTATAGACAAAGGGTGTCTTCTGAGGATATCTATATTGTCGACAAGTTTATTTTTAAAATCTCTGTCAGCGTTTGTGTATTCTAAATCGAGGGTTGTGAATTTTTGTTTTTGTTCCATAATGACAACAAGGATGTGATGCTTTACTGTGGCCTCATGTGCCAAAGTTGTTTCTTTCAGTTCTCCTTTGTCCTCCTCGTCCGTTTTCACTCAGGATATTTTTCTACTCACCTAATGGACTTTTGAGGTAGCATGGACTCATAAGTTTAAAATGCATCAGGAAGAATGTTGATGTTAAGGACTATAGGAAGGTGATTAAATTGGTTTCTCTTCTTCATGCCCCTTTTCAGACATAAGCACTAAATTATCTATAATTATATGGGCCATTCATAGGGCTGGGTATTGTTAAAAAAATTTCGGTTCCGGTACCAATACCGATACCTTCACTTCGATACCGGTTCCTGAACGATACTTTTTTCGATACCAGTTTTATAATATCAATTCGAAAAAAAAGAAAATTACACAACATAAAAAAATACAAATCTTGAGTTTTATTTTAAGCTCTGTTTTTCCATTTACATTTTTCCTCTTACATAAAAAAATAAATAATTCAGTGTCTAATATTCACTGTTACATTGTGAGGACCTTTTTACTTAGCAGTTTTCCTTTAGAAAAATTACCATGTCTGACAAACAAGCCCGTTGAATGGGATCCTACTGACAGCGCACCGCTGGTATGGGGGGGGTCTGAGCGGCTCCGACAGAAATATTGAAGGCAGGATGAACTGACTGCACTGATTACGTTTTCAGGTGGATTTTCCCACTTAAAAACATAATAAAACTACTTTATTCCCACTGATCACAGCAAATATAGCTGCAAGGCAAATAAAGGATAGAGTAGCTCCGCCCAACGCGCGTCTGACCCACTTTGCGACCGCGCAGCCAGAGCAGCAAAGCTTCTTCAGCAGCGCGTCAGAAGCTGGTACAAGCAGCAAAAATGAAGCAGCAGACGAGATTTTGCTGCTCTTGCTGCGTCCAGTTTGAAAGCAGCATGATTCACTCCGCTCTGGCTTTGCTCTGCCCACGGGCTGCTGAGAGGAGGATGGTCGCGCTGGCTGCGGTCCGCTCTTCTTGCAGTCAAACACAGAGCGACTTTCTGCTCTTAAATTATTTCCGTGCACGATGTATTGCATTGTGCACTATTAGCATCAGTCTTAATAAAGTGAAGCCGCACTTTTGACCTGGGGGGCATTTTAAAGGGGTTCCGCGACGCTGCAACCAGTTCACAAAAGATACACATGAACCCTGGCTGCAGGCGTGACCACCTGTGTATTTTTCCTGGATGACGCAATCACGTTAAGTGTTCCAGCCAATCACCGAAACTTGGTACCGAAAGACGAGGCATGTTTCGATACTCTGTAGAACCGAAGCATTTCGGTCGGTACCATAAAAGTACCGAAGTTCGGTACCCAGCCCTAGCCATTCATGATACATTGTGTTTGCATGTGATAAATGGGTTTTTATTAACAGAATTGTCAAAAAAGAAGTTGTTTATTCATTTGTGGAAGTACTTTCTCTGTGGTTGGAGTCCTAAACCACAGAATTGTCTTTCATATCTTTCTGGACTGAAATATAAAGACTTTGGGTTTCCTCAGCAGGGCTTGATGTTAAACATTTATCATACTTTCAGTGTTTTATTGTTCCTTTAAAATGTATTTAATGATCTGAAACATACATCACAATCTTTAATTGGACAAATATTTTTTGCATCATTTTTTTTGTTTAAAGAAGTGTTGCCCTGGTGGTCTGAATGAACATCTAATACTCTATTTGTCAACTCTCTGCTGCAGAGTCGGATGGCTTTAAGGGGCAGAAGTTGGAGAATTTGTTTCTTGCAGAATAGCAGCCAACACCAATGCATTTAGAAAAGGAAAAAAACCACACAAATAAAGCAAACAAGAGAGGTGGCGAAACGTCTTCAAATCTTGAAAACCAAGTCCAATGGATATTTTTTGAATTTTTACGGAAATAAAGCAAACAATAATAAAGTTACAGCTCATTCTTTAAGCTCTCTTAAACCTCAATATTGTGTGAGGGTTAAACCAATTTGTTGTTTTACAGACACACCCAGCTCTTACTCACTTCAGAAAAATATCCTCTTTAAACCTCCCATAATAAATAAAATGTTAATTGAAGGTATTTAGAGACAAACGTTTACATAGTTAGTAACTTAGGGGAAATACATTTAAAATTCAAATATAAAAAGATTGAATAAAGCCTGGCTGCAAACATCCAAAGAAGGCTTCATATTAGACCTCAGACGCTTTGGGTGAAGCAAAACATTATCTTCAGGTAATAAATATTAACATTGATAAGGACGAGTATGTATGTATGTAGATGTATTTATATATTTGTGTGTGTATTTTTTTTTTTTTGTATGTGTGAATATTAGATACAAAAACACAGAAATTTAACTAACAGGAAGGTTACATTACTTTAAGAGGGGGTATGAAAAATAAATTTTACTTCTTCATACCCTTTTCAGACAATTTTCATTAATCAATGTCATTTCTCTGGCTGTATATGCCAACAGCTTTAGTTGGTGGAGAGTTTTGTTTCTATTTATGTTCAGGTGAAGTTAGTTTGTTTGGAAATTGGAGTTTGGTTTGATGTTAACCAGTCTCTTTTTGTATGTATTTGGTTGATTGATTTATTTATTGTTGTTTGTCAAAATTGTCTGAAATAAATTCCTTTTCCTTCATTCGTTCATT